ACACAGGATTATTGTGAAGTTTAAGTAAGTTAATGTGTGGGATGAGGCCTTGCACAGTACTTAGCACTTGGTATTTGTTAAATGCTAGCTTTTTTGATCCTGTATTTAAGAAGAGGGGTACTTAACTTCTCTGTGCTTCCTGGAAGTGAGTCATATCTTCTGAGTAAATAACGGTAGTTCCTAAGAGAGTACCTAGTATATAGCAAGTATTTGAATGAATGAATGAATGAATGAATGAATGAACAAACGAACAAACAGACATCCTGGACAGAGTTACTTGTCCTCATGGGGCTTAACCAAAACCAATATTACTTCGTCAGAGGGTGAGAGCTGCTTGCTAGGGAGTGAGTCTCATGATGGAAAGGTGGGTAGATAGCACAGAGTAGTCATCCTGCATTCAGTTATTCTAAAACTATGGACTGCAGGAAATTTTAATATATGAAATTTATATATCTTTTGTCGGCGCTAGAAAATTTGCCATATGGTAGAATTGGCCGGAATGATGATTTTTGTTTTTCCTGCAAAAGATTTTCACTTGCTTATAAAAACTGGCCTCTCACAGGGCTCGTGGTGAAGGGCCCAGATGGCATCAGTGGCTGGTGATGCCAGTGGCCTATTTGCTTGTCAGCGCAGAGTGGTGTTAACACAGCTTCTTAGACAAACTTATATTGAACATATGTCAGTGCTTACTTATTCACTTAATGACGTCATTAGGAGATAAAGTATGCTGGCTTAAATTGACAGGAGTTTAGTCCTAACTGCTGTTTTACCTCCCATGGTCATAAAAACATCACATTTTTATCTGATACGGTTAAATTTGTGATACGAATTGTTTGGGCCACAGTCTGACGTGACCCATTCATCAGAAATAACAAGCAGTGTATCTGCAAAGCAAATGATAAGCAGATTGATCTGTGGTTATTAATTAGATGTGCCAAGAAACAGGGTTTTATGCACTCACAAGGAACCACGCACCCGGATGCCAGATAGAGGTCAAACAGAAGTCAGCTAGCAGAAGCCTAGAGTCCTGCTTTTTCTCAAGGAAAACTTTCCAGTGTGCCATTAAAGATGCTGGGCATCTGCTTTACGTAGTTCTTATTTTGGGGACAAAACTTGTCTTTCACTGTGGGGAGAGGTGTTCCATGGGAAGAAACAGCCCGTTGGAGGGCACGTTTGAAGACTGAGAAGGTTGAAACAAGGAGTGAGAACTCCCTGTGTGCTCGGACACCTGGCCACAGTCATGGCCAGTCTTGGAACCCTGGAACAGTAATGGCCCTGGGAGGGCCGTTGGAGAACATCACAACCTGTGGTTTTCAGACTGTGTTCTGAGGAGCCCAGGGGCTTAAGGGGAAGCCGAACAGCTGTGCTGTACCAAGCAAACAGGCTGTGCTGTAAGCAGGGACACCAAAATAACACCTGGGAAAATTAGTTTTAGGTGTTATGGTTTGGTATTGCTTTTAGTTTGAATTGTATGTGGGAAAGGGGTGAGCAACCTAATCTTCTCTATTGCTTATGGCTCTAAGGATGTTTATCCAGCCCTAAAGGCTGGAACCCCAAACCCCTCCTTTGCCTCCTTCCTGTCATTCTACAGCAGCTCTGCTTTTTTTTTTTTTTAATATATATATATATTTATTTATTTGACAGAGAGATCTCAAGTAGGCAGGGAGGCATGAAGAGAGAGGCGGGGGGGGGGGGGGGGGGAAGCAGGCTCCCTGCTGAGCAGAGAGCCCAATGCGGGGCTCGATCCCAGGACCCTGAGATCATGACCTGAGCCGAAGGCAGAGGCTTAACCCACTGAGCCACCCAGGAGCCCCTAGAGCAGCTCTGCTTTTGTTCTTGTGATCAGGGTTCTAAATAACGCCATGTGCAAAAGAGTATAATCTAGCGTACAGGTGACAGAAAATGTTTCATTTATTTATCTACTTGTTCTCTTCTGCTTTGTGTTGCTCAGGCAGTGATTTGATCGGATTTATGTCTTTGAATGATTATTCTGGAAGAAGGTGGGGTTAAGGCGGGGAAAGACCTCCAGACCTCCGTTTTAGCCTTCTGTGAAATATGGCTGGCTGTAGCTGCTGTGATTCGTGGTGGTGAATGAGCCCTGAAGGCTGAGTTCCTGTAAATGACAGGTTTTCCATATGAAAGTCAGCCAAGGAAATTATTCCTGGCATTTGGAGTCACGGAAACTGTTTGATGTTAATGGGTTTACCAGAAAGGGCTTTTGTGGGGTTCTTTTGGCCCAGGGCAAGCTAGCTGTTGATGTAATCAGGAGACCACAAAGAATGATTTCTGCCGCCTCTGTCCTTCCTTAGTGCACGGCTCCTGTGACTCATGCTTCTGTGTCTTGGACTTGGGAGTAAGTGATCACATTTCTAAGGCTGAGGTATGGCTAGCCTCTGCCTCTCCCTCCTGGGCAGGCCCCAGCCTGATGATAATCCTGGTCTCCCAGGCTTGCCAGAGGCTTCTCCTTCATCCTGGACCTCGCCTACATTTGACTGGCTACAGAGCACCTGGGAATCAGTTGCCAAATCACAGTTCTGAAGAGAGTCACAGCAGCCTTAGAGATCCATGGGTCTAGGGGTTCCCAAAGCTGGCTGCATATTGGGGAAAATGGCCCCCTCCTGTCCCCTCTTGAGTCAAATTCAGTAAGTCTGTAATGAGACCCAGAAATTAGTGTTTTGTTTTGTTTTTTAAATCCTGTCCTAAGATGGTTCTTACTTGACACAGTATAGGACATTTGGTGAGCACTGATCTAGGCTCATACTTGAATTTTTTGGACCATTTTACCCTCAGTCTTGACTTAAGAAAATTAAATGTAAGACATGCTCATGATTAGAAATTTCAAACAGCATGAAAACACGAAGAATAGAAAGCAAAAGCTTCTCCCACTCCTAGTTCAGCCCCCAGGTAAGCATTATCGAACACTTTCTTTAGATTCTGCTCATAAATGATTTTACATTTATGTATCATTCCCTATCTGTCTACTTAATTCTACAAAATCTGAGCCAGAGGAATAACCCTATCCACATTATTCTGCACTGTATCTCCCCCATTCCCTGCTTAAAATATTCAGAACTCACTGTAGATCATTCTTTTTAATAACAACCATTAAATATGTAAACATTTGTGACACACTTGGAACAATACTTGGTGAGTAGTAAGCACTATATATTTGTCAAATGAGTGAATGGGGGCAGCTGCATGGCATACCAATACGTGGATATACGCTGTTTTACTCTTGTGGACACTTGTTGCATTGGTTGCTATAACAAACAAGGTAGAAATGAACATCCTTGTGTGTATATCTTGGGGGCTTTGCCTTGGATATGGCTATTAGCACCTTACTTAGCGGGGCAACAGCAGGCATGGAGCCAAAGGCATTAGAAGGAAAAGGTACTAATTAGAACAAAGCAGGGCATTGGACTGGAATTGGAATTTTGTCTGGACCTAGAATCACAGAAATACAGATCTCAGATCTAGAAGGAACCACAGGAGAATGTTTGGTTCACCCTTGTGCCCTCTGGGTAGGGAATGGGTTCCATCTGTGGTTCCTAGGTTGTACCCTGAGCCCTGGGAGCCACAGTGAACTCACTGGAAAAGTGTGTGTATGGGGGCTGCGGGATCTGTAACATGTTTGCAAAGACACTGTGCAAACAACTAGCTCAAGAAAGTTGACGGTTGTAACGTTAACTTTACTAAGGTCCCTTTGGCGATGCTCTATTTCGTGAAGCTGTTTCTGGAGGGTGCCAGGATACAGCAGCTGGTGTGCATAAATGAACGTGCGACGGGAAGTGGGCGTGGTGTTGTCAAGTCTGACTCCAGAGTCTGCAAAGTTGTGCAGTTCGTAACCACTGCCCACGTCCCATTAGCAAGTAACTGGTGAAGAATGAAATAAAAATATTTTCTTCTTTCAACTTGTGTGCACTATTTTTTTTTTAACAGCTACAAATCTTTAGGACATAAATACTTAGTTGTTTGAAGCTAACTCCGCAAGAAATGGAACTGCTAGGTATTTCTTTGGGCCCACAGAGCTGTGAAAAAATTTCTAAGATACTAAGGGTGCTGTGAATTGGAAAAAGTTTGTGAACAACAGATTTACAGCCTGTCCAGAACTCCTAACTGTTAAGTGGGAGATGCCACGCTGACTTGGTTTAAAGGCAGGGAATTATTCACTTCTGTGTCTGGGTGTCCGGCGTTGCACTTGGCATCAGACTGTGTGGGGTTCAGGTCCTGAAGCCTCCATTTCTCCTTCCATCTCTAAGATGGGCTGTCTGTATGTGGGTGAGACAGCTCCCTGCCCATCCTTTCCAGACTCCCCTCCTTTTGGTTTAGCAATCCGCAGCAGAAAGAATCATCTTTCCCAATAGCTTGTGCATAAAATCTCTGGGAGGACTTTGGCTGCCCCGGCCTGGGTCCCTTGCCCAGCCCCAGAACTGAGGCTTTGATTAGTGATGGCCACGCCTAGAGCACACACCCCGCCGTGCTCAAGTGAGCACCCTCAGTAAACAGCACGGGATGGGTAGGTTCTCCACAGAAAAGAGCAGGTTTTGTTACCAGGAGAATGGGAGAAGGGACCCAGGACCAAAAACAGTCTTCCATTTTAACAGACGAGAGGCCGGACTCGTAATGTGGTAGTGGGAGGGTTAGGCATGAAGGCTCTGGAGTCGCACCCATCTGGCTTCACTTCCTTGGGCAGATTCACTACATCTGTAAAGGCTTTGGAGTCCTTGTCTGTAAAATAGAAATAACTGAAGATAAAGTTCAAGAATACAAAAGGCTGGCAGTAATAGTCCTCACCTCATGGAGGTGGTGCTTGGAAGGCTAAGTGAGTTAATACACAGAAAGTGCCTAGCACTGGGCCTGGCACGTAGGAAGCGCTCTGTAAGTGAGCTCATTATTCTTACTGGTCAGGTAACCTTAAGAGCACAGGTAGTAAGTGACCCAAGCTTCGGGCTCCCGGAGAGGGTGCTAGATAGTGACGTCCTCTTCCCTGTCTGTCACAGAGTGAAGCAGCATGGACGCCGTCAGCCAGGTCCCGATGGAAGCCGCGCTCCCCAAGCACATCCTGGATATCTGGGTCATTGTCCTCATCATCCTGGCCACTATTGTCATCATGACCTCCCTGTTGCTGTGCCCTGCAACGGCAGTCATTATCTATCGCATGCGGACTCATCCTGTCCTCAACGGGGCCGTCTGAGATCAGTCTCCCAAGAGTGATGTGGACGATGTCCCCTCCCCCAACCTCTTCCTTCTCCAGAAAGCAGCAAGAGGGGCTTTGGAGTGTGGACTCTGGAGCCTGCCCTGTGAGAGGAGACCGGGGTTCTTGTTTGGATTCTGCCACCGGCCAGCTGTGTGAGTCCAAGCAAGGGACCTAATTCTGTGGGTTCCAGGTTCCTTCTCTTTTAAATGGGGATCATGATCCCTGCCCTTCCTACCTCATAGGGTTGCAAGGACCAATGACTCGGTGGAGATGAAAGCTGTTTGCGATTGTGAGCAGTAAGGCCGCCACTGTGAGGTGTTACTGCTCAATGCTGAGAAGCTTCGAAGAACCAAAGCACCTAATTGCTGACAATGGCCTTCAAGGAGGTGAAGAAGACGCTGGGGGCAGAACAGCCTTCACCAGCGCCCCCAAGGTCAAACAAAGCAAAGGCATCCTGTCCTCATTCCAAAGGGCCAGCAGCACCTTGGCTCAAAGACATTTTCTTTGTGGTGCCACTCCCTCAAGTTATGTAATTTGGAGGGAATTGAGCGTATTAGGGGGAGGGAGTTGGGTGGAGCTTCCCAGGACCTCCTCTGTGCCAGAACATCTACCCCTGTAACAACCTAAAGGAGGCTCCGCTATTTCTTGGCAATGCCAAGGGATCTGGGGTGATGGGCTTCTTTCTGCATTGGGAGTCTCCTCGCTTTGACACTCAAGCAATGTTGGGAAACACAGGGTGGCTGAGTGGCCTGGGCAGCCTTCAGGATCTCCAGCCCCCCCCCCACTTGTGTGCCCCACATTTGAGGAGCTCTGTACCCCCACCCCGAGCACCCTCTGTAACCAGCTCCATGGTGTAAAGTGTCCACCCTTCATTCCCTCCCACCAGCACTGCAGCCAGTCTAAGCTACAGATTTTAAGAGATGTTCCCAGGATTTTTGGAACTAACTCAAAACAATGGTTATTTTAGATGGTATGATCTATATTTATAGAGAGAGATTTCTGGACCACTCAAGCTTCTTGACCAAAATCAGGAACATCTTGGGATGTATTAAATTATGTAAAAAGATAGCACAGATGTCAGAATATTGTGTGAACTGATGCTTTTATGTGGTCTGATTTCATTGATGTATACAACCAATTTCCAATAAAGTGCTAGAATGAACATGTCTGAGGTCTTTCTTTAGAGAGCACTTATTAAATAAAGCTCAGGAACTCAGGTAAATGATTCCACTGAATTTATGGGCCTTAGAGACAGTTTGAATGTAAGAACTGAAAGGGAAAGAGAAGAATCCAGTCCACTTCTGGGTAGTTGCACAGTTTACATTTACATGGACATAGGATGCAGAGGGAAGGACATGTTTTATAAGTAAGCGATAAGTTTCGTATTAGACATGTCAAGTTCAAGGTGATTGTGATCTTCAGGCAGACATTTTCAGGATGCAACTGGAAACCTGGGGGTGTTCTTTGGCAAAGATTTTATGGCTGGAGTTATGCTTTGGGAGATTATCTGCAGACGGTAGACATGCCCCACAAGTGGACAGGACCACCCAGGCAGAGCACTCAGACTGAGGCGGTAAGGTGCTAAGTGTAGAACTTGGCAAAACTGGTACATAGAAGTGGAAGAGGGATGGATGGGGTGGGGGAGAGAAAAACCAAGGAGATGGAAAAGGTCATGTGCTAAGAGGTGATATGAGGGGGATGCAATCATATTGTGTGAGTTAAGGAATGAGTTGGAGGAGAGGAAGTGGAGACAGAACGGACACCGCATTCCAGGAATAGGACTGTGGTATAGAGGTAAGGGAGGAGGGTTTGGGTCAAGGGGGAATAGGTATATGTGAAAAGATTCTGATTGTTTGCTCAGCATCTCTCCCAACTTTTGCTTTTCTTTTCTTTTCCCTTAATATGCCTTCCTGGGGGACAAAGGCTAGAAAGTGAAAACCTACAATGAACGTGAACAGTGCATTTCCCTAACTAAACTATAGCCAGAGGTTCAGACGTGATTTAGGTTTTGCTAATCATATGCACACACGTGAGGCTTCCGTGTGGGACCTAGTTGGGCGGGGACAGAGACCATAGGGTGCCAAGCATCCACGGTTCCATTGTCAGTCCATAGCTATGGGCATAAGACAGAGCCAAGAATTCTGCGTTTTTAACGGAGCGCCCTGTCCTTTGAGAAGCATAGTACTGAAGTTCCTGGGAACTTTTTCACTGTGACAGCTGTCCAGAACTTACACCTCCTAATTGCTTGCTGGAGAGAAAACTTGGAACATTTGTAACTGATAAGCATAGATCAGTCTCCTGTAGTTCAAGCCTACGAGAAGCAGCTCACTGGGAATTGCTGGACGTGGGATGTAGGCTGTGTGTGCGCTACTTAGCCCTTCCGAGTCTGATTCTGGGTCTGTAAAGTGGAAGGTAACAGAATTAAATGAGAAAATCTTTCTGATTTTAGGGTGGAGTGTAAATAGGCAGTCCACCAGGGTGGCGATACTGCTCTCTCTCGCTTGCTCTCTCTTTTTTTTTTTTTTTCCCAAGTGGAGTAGTTAGCTCACAAGTTTCAGCCATCCTATCACATTCCTAGCAGCTCAGCATTTCATTTTTCTGGTTCTAGTTTCTGAAGGTAACTTAGGATCATCCAGTCCAACCCCCTCTAAAATAAAGTAATCCCCTCTCTAATGAGAGGGTTGCCCCGTGTGGCCTGTTCAGTAATTTCCAGTGTTGTTTTAGATCACCTGCGACAGGTTCGCCCAGGAGAATTCATTTATAAGTGTGGCTCCCAGGGGCAGGCTTTACGCTTACTGAGAATCCCTGGGAAAAGGCCTTGCGTATCCGTTTTGTAACAAGCTCCCTGGGTGATCCGTGAGCAGGTTAAACATGGTGGAGAACCCCATGCTGGTGGAAAGGAATCCACGTCTTGCTGAAACCACCCCTCGACCGCTGTGGTATTAAATTTCTTCCTTCAGTAAGAGAGAAGTCAGGCCTTGGGATGCTAGCTCTGCCCTCTTGGGGCCACCCTGAAGAGATCAACTTCCTTTTCCTGGGGACAACTTCTGAGCATTTTTAAAATATATATATATATTATTTTATTTTAGAGAGAGTGGGGCGGGGAGAGGAAGAGAGAGAGAGACTTAAGCAGACTCCTGCTGAGCGCAGAACCCACCATGGGCCTCCATCTCACAACTCTGAGATCGTGACCTGAGCAGAAATCAAGAGTCTGTCACATAACCGACTGAGCCAGCCAGGTGCCCACTTCTGAGATTCTGAATAAGATCGTTGTCATGACTGACCTCACCCCACCACCTTGCCTAGGTGGGAAATTCACACTTTGCAGTACACGGTGGCTGTCATCCTTCTTTGGCAGGACAGCAAGGGCCTGAAGAATCTTGGCTTCACCATGCATTGGCTTTCTGATTGTGGGCAAATTAACAAACTCCTTGAGTCTTAGCTTCCTCTTCTGTAAACTAGGCATCAAAGTAACTCTAGCTGCCTCACAGGTTTGTTACGAGGATGAAATGTGGCCACAGCTGCAAGGTGAAATGGTAGAATACAGCAAGTGCTCAGTACCCGTGATCTGTTGCTGATGAGTCCCAGTTTCCTCATCTGTAAAATGGTGATAACAATTTCTTCTGAGTGTGGAGAGGATTAAATGAGATCAGAAAGTAGAGAATTTAGCCAGGGCCTGACTCATGGGAGTCTCTCAATACGGGTAGCCAATAACACAAAAATACAAAAAGCCTAATTGGGTTAGATCCTTAAATCGCCAGTTAAAGTAGTGAGATCAGCAGAAAACTTTCTCGCTGACATGCTGTAGGATTGGCACTAAATTCACAGAGGGCCTCAAACAAGTATAAAAGTCCTACCTTTTGTATACTAATCTCCCTTTAGAAATTTTTTTTTTTTTTAAGATTGTATTTATTTGAGAGACAGAGCCCAGAGGGAGAGGCAGAAGGAGAGGGAGAAGCAGACTCACCCCTGAGCAGAGACCATGATATGGGACTTGATCCTGGGATCATGACCTGAGCCAAAGGCAGATTCTTACAGAGCCACCCAGGCACCCCTAGAAATTATTTCATAACTTATTCACCATTATTTAATAAAACACAAAGTTTTCCACTTTTAAGTTTTAACCCTCACAGAAGTTGTTTTCTACAATTTTAAGTGTAAAAAAAAAAAAATTAAAAACCTTTCAGTAAGATAAAACTTTCATCAGGTCTTTATGTAATTCTTGCTAAAGAGAGAGTGGAAAGAGGATTGGGATATGAAATGATGATGATAATAAAATTTCGAAATCCTTAATTCCCAAAGTCAATGCAACTTCTAAATTGTGCAGCTCACACAAAGAATTTAATTGAGGTATACGAGAGGCTCCTCAATTCCCATAGATATTTACATGCTAGAAAAAAGTTTTTGGGGTGCCTGGGTGGCTCACTTGGTTAAGCATCTGCCTTTGGCTCAGGTCATGGTCCCAGGGGTCCTGGGGTGGAGTCCCATATCAGGCTCCTGGCTGGCTCAGCGGGGAGTCTGCTTCTCCCTCTTCCTCGGCACGCAGCCCGCAATGCTTTCTCTCTCGCTCACTCTCTATCTCAAATAAATAAAAGCTTTTTAAAAAAAAGTTTGTGTTAGCAGGTTTCTAATAACATTATTTGTCAACATCCAAAAAGTTCTTATATATATTTAAAGTTGGACGACTACTGTTACATAGTGAATTGTTTATATGTACGAACTTCCGGTCAAGACGACTGAATTCCATGTGGCGCCACCAGCATGTTCTGTTGAAAACAACTGTCTCTGTGAGCCTGGGTGGCTCAGTCATTATGCGGCTACCTGCCTTTGGCCCAGGTCATGATCCTGGGGTCCTGGGATCAAGACCCACATCAGGCTCCCTGCTCGTCGGGAGGCCTGCTTCTCCCTCTCCCACTCCCCCTGCTTGTGTTCCCTTTCTTGCTGTATCTCTCTTTACCAAAACAAGACAAAACAAAAAACCAGCTGTCTCAAAGTCTCACTGCCCTCATTTGTAAAAAGGGAGATCATGCTTATCTCTGTGGTGCCGTTGAGCTTAAGCAAGACCCTGTATCCCAATATTTACAGAGACCCTGGCTTGCAGTAAATACTCAGTGCTTCTATGTTACCTAAAAATGGAGGCTCATGAACTCTATCTTTTCTCTACAGATATGGGTGGGGCAAGTCTGTTGGATTGGTTTCCCTTCTGACACTCTCCACCCAGAGAGAGCATCAGATCCCAGAGGTAAAGGGTTCAGTCCCACAGGACTGATCTCCACTTCACAAGCCAGTCCCAAGCCCCCATTGTTACCTGTGCATCTGACCTGGGGCTACAAATCGGAGGCTCCAACAACCCCTCTCCAACTGCGGGCACCAGTGTCAAGTCCAGGTTGCTACCTGTACTTCTGACTGGCCATAAATCAGAGGTCCCACAACCTCCTCCTTGGCTTCCATTAATTGGCTAGAGCGGCTCACGGAACTCAGACAAACCTGTTTACTCCTTAAGGTACTGACTGATTACAAGGGATATTGTTGGAAATGAATCAATAGCCAGATGGAGGGATCCACAGGGTGAGGTTCAGAGCAGAGGAGCTTTATCCTTCTGGAGGCTGGGCCTGGCACGGGGGGGGGGGCACATGGAAACTCCCTGAACCCCTCCTTTCAGGTTTTTATGAAGGCTTCATTACATAGGCATGACTGATTCAATCACTGGCCATTGGTGATTGATTCAACCTCCAGCCTCTCCCCGACCCCCGCCCTCCGGCGGAAATCAGGGGCGGGGACTGAAAGGTCCGCCCCTGTATTCATGGTTGGTTTCCCTACCCAGCCACGGGGCAACCAGCCCCATCCTCACATGCCTTTCACAAGTCACCTCACTAACTTAAATCCATTTGTGGTAGAAAAGAGCTTGTTATGAATAGCAAGACCTTCATCTCACCTTTATGGCTTTGAAGCAATTTCAGGAGCTGAAGCCAAGAGACCAAATATGATGACAAAAGATGCTCCCATTTCTCTTATCATTCAGGACATTCCAAGGAGCTGTGAGGCAGAAACTGTGGACAATGAACAAATATATATGAGAAATATATGTTGGTTGTCTGACCAAATCTATATATTTTTTTATAAATCACAATATCACAACAACTAAACAGTCTAAGGAGAA